CCTAGGCAATTAATGAGATTAAAGAAAAAACATGTAAACATGGACTATACAAAACACAAGATATGGAAATACAAAACAAAAAATATAAGCAAGACTAAGCAATACAAAAAAAAAACAAATTGAGCAAAAATGAGGTAGATTGCTTACGAGTACTCACAGGTACACTGTAAGTAACAAATTGCAATTTGAGATGCAGGCAAAGCCAGGGGTACAATGGAGTAAGGGAGCATGGCAAGGCTAGGCAACCTAGGTAATAAATGAAATCAAAGAAAAGTTGAATAATAAACATAGGCAAATTTAAGCTAATGATTAATGACTATAGATAGTTCAGTAATGACTGTATAATTAAAAAGACCTGAAGAACTACTTAATAACTCAATTAAATAATTTCGGTAAATGACTAGGTAAGAGTAAGTTAAAAATTAAGTCAGAAAATGAACCAAGGAGACTTAGGATACCTAGCCCCACTAGTTGACAGGGGGTTAATTAAGTTAAATCATTGGGAGTGATAAGGTGAGACAAACCACATTGGGAGAGGAAAGTGTTGAGGTTTTCTTCTCTAGTAATAGTAAACATTTTGCCCTCTGCGGTTTTTCTCACCTTTATCAGACCATCTCTAACGAAGCACTGATGAATAGCATCTGGGTTTTGTTGCCGGATTTGACGCAGGCGGTAGAGGATTTGCTGTCTGTTCCTGGTCAAGCACTCGTTGATGTATAATCCCTTCCGTAGGGATGCAGCTGTCCGGACTAGATTGGATTTCGTGAACTGGGAAGACAGCTTCAGGCGAATTTTCCGTTGATTTAGACCTGATGGATTCTTTTTGCCTACTCTGTAGGCAGCAATAACGTCAGTTTTGTTTAGATTGAGCTGCAATTTGTTTTTTAAGAGATCCTGAGCTATTTCGAAACAATTTTCACCTTCATGTTCCACAGGTATATCTTGGGACGACACGATAACAGAGTCTAGCAGCTTTTGCTGGTCTTGTTCCTCCTGGGAGACGGAACGTTGAGCTGAAAATGTACTGATACATGCAGTCATTTTGCTGAGAGCTTCCTCCTGCTTTTTTAAGGCTTCATCAGTTTTCCGAAGGTTGTTTACCTCATGGAGATCATTCAAATCATGCTGTAGTTGGTCTTGGCTAGCCTTGTAGTTTCTAATATCCTCGCGGAGGAGGGTTATTTCTTGTTGTTGTTGTTGGAGATTAGCGCGGTTCGCTAGATTCTCGTTGAGAAGACTCAAGATGATAGAATTTTGTGACTCGAGGACTAGGCACAACTTTTTGAACCACAGATTCTCGGTCCAGTTAGTGAATTCCGGTGAGGGACCGGAAGCTCGCTTGAGTTGATTATACTGGGATGCTAGCATGTTCATAGGAGAGGGTTGAGAGGACTCTGCTCCTTTGCTCAATGGGGTGGAGGGGAGGGCAGCCCCGCCACCCCGGACCCCAGAGCTTCCAGACGGAGAAACACGGATATTGTTATTGTTGGCCGGGATGGATGTCTTGTTAAGGGGTTTGCTGCCCTTATTTCCCTGCACAGTCACATTTTTAGGAGACATGATTGGTTAGAATGGACTGAGGGGTATATGTTGAGAAGAAACTTGCGTCAGGCAGCGACCGCGGCAGCATGCACTGGTACTCACACCGTAGAGGATTGTTTTGAAACGTATTCGAGATGGAATGAGTTGATTTTGGTCGGTTACTTTGGTTTTGCTATAACATGCTTGGACTCCATGTACTTAGCTGCCTGTGGGTGGTGGTCTACATCATCTGGCGTAAGTTTAAGGGCTGATATACAGCTTATAGTGAGGAGCGTAGCGTGCGTAGCGTCCTCCCTCGATCAGCAATCCCATATAAGTCCCATATAATATCCCATATAAGCATATCCCATATAAGACCTATATCAATCCTGCCAAACTTGTCAAAAATTTTTGAAAAACTTATATACAAGCAGCTTTACTCATATCTAGCCAAACTCAATATACTTAGCCCTTGCCAATATGGCTTCAGACCCAAAAAAAGCACTAACGATGCACTTATTAGTATGCTTAACTCGATTCATACAGCTCTTGATAAAAAGGAGTTCCCTGTTGGGTTATTTGTGGACCTGCGTAAAGCTTTTGATACTGTCAACCACCATAACCTTCTTCTTAAATTACATCATTATGGAGTCAGAGGACACTCCCTACAATACCTCGAGTCCTACCTTACTGACAGGCTCCAATATGTTTCTGTGAATAATACAATTTCTCCCACCCTACCCATCAACATTGGTGTTCCTCAGGGCAGCATACTTGGCCCTCTCCTCTTTCTCATCTACATTAATGACCTTCCAAATGCCTCCCAACACCTCAAACCAATTCTATTTGCTGACGACACAACCTTCATTTACTCCAGTCCTGACCCTCTTGCTCTAAATGCCACAGTAAATACTGAGCTAAATAAAGTCCATCTTTGGCTAACTGCCAACAAACTCACCCTTAACATTGACAAAACCTTCTATATTCTGTTTGGCAATAAATCCTCTAGTCTTATAAATCTCAAAATAAACAATACCCAAATTTGTAACAAATTAGATGGCAAATTCCTTGGCATTCTCATTGACCACAAGCTGAATTTCCAGGGACACATTCTAAATATATCAAAAAAGTTTCAAAAACTGTGGGCATTCTTTCTAAGATCAGATATTATGTACCACGCCCTGCCCTGGTGACTCTCTATTACTCCCTTATCTATCCTTATCTCAACTATGGTATTTGTGCTTGGGGTTCTACTACCCAAAATCACTTACGTCCTCTAATTACCCAACACAAAGCCGCTATTAGAACAATATCCAACTCTGGCCCCAGACATCACTCGGTACCCCTACTCAAATCTCTTAATATGTTAGATATTAAGTCACTGCACATTCTCTCATGTGTATTATACATATATAAAACGCTAAACTATAATGCCAATCCTGATCTTAAAAGCTTCATAGAAGGTTGTAACAGAACCCATGAGCACCACACCAGAAATAAATACAGTTTTGATATTCCTAGAGTACGTCTTAATCAAACTAGAAATGCTCTGCAAATCAAGGGGCCCAGAATGTGGAATGACCTTCCCAACCATGTTAAAGACTGTACCTCTCTCAACCAGTTTAAGATAAAAACTAAACACTACCTAATAAATTCCCTGTAATCTACCTCACTCCTCTATTGTCAACCCATGTCTGTTATTTTCTTTTTTTTTTTTAATCAACACTGTCAACCTATTGTATTTGTGCTGCTTTTTCAGTCAAGTTCCCCCTTTTTTTTTATCTTTATTTGTATTTGTTCTCAACATCTTTTATTCTTTATGCTCAATTAGTATTAAGTTCTAGATATTATGTTTTCTTGCCCGAAACACATTGCGTAATAGTGGCTTTAGGCATTGTATGTACTAGCTCTATCTATATATCAATCCATTAATGTAACATCACTTGTATGTATATACCTTACCTGAATAAACATCTGAATCTGAATCTGAATCTGAATATATCATAAAAGTTTCAAAAATAAAGATATTATGTACCGTAATAGTGGCTTTAGGCATTGTATGTACTAGCTCTACCTATAAGTCTACCAATCCTTGTAAAAATTTATTGTATGTATGTACCTTACCTAAATAAAATTGTATTGTTGTATTGTATTGTATTGTATATATAACATTATTAATTTTGTAACTATAGCGTCAAAAATTTTTATTTGCTTAGCTAAACGAACTAGAGGGTTCAGTTCCTGAACCGATTATGTGCCTCTGTGCCTTTACACCACCGCCCACGGGATGGGTATGGGGTGCATAATAAAGAAAGAAATTGAATTGTACTCTCATGAACCCAATGTACCTTCTTGTATATAAATATATAAATAAATAAATAAATAAATAAATAAATAAATAAATGAACATAATGTAGAACATTCTAGCATATTTGACATTAATACCAATGTATTCACCTATTTGTGCTTGCGGGGGTTGAGCTCTGCTCTTTCGGCCCGCCTCTCATCTGTCTTTACTATTTTTTCCCCCCACCCCCCCCCCACACACCAGGAAGCAGCCCGTGACAGCTGATTAACTCCCAGGTACCTATATACTGCTAGGTAACAGGAGCATAGGGTGAAAGAAACTCTGCCCATCGTTTCTCGCCAACGCCCGGGATCGAACCCGGGACCACAGGATCACGTGTCCAGTGTGCTATCTGCTCGACTCCCTATCTTTGTGAATATGTGCTTTGTGAATTCAATTTCTTTCTTTATTATGCACCCCATACCCATCCCGTGGGCGGTGGTGTAAAGGATTACAGAGGCACATAATCGGTTCAGGAACTGAACCCTCTAGTTCGTTTAGCTAAGCAAATACAATTTTTTGATACTTTGTGAGCAAATGTACTTTCCAGCAAGCGTTTTAAGAGGACTTAGCCTTTCTTTAAGCTTAAACTGCAGTTCACTTACAATGTCATTATTAATATTCACATCGAGGTATTTGTATTGCCTGCAGTATTCAGTGCGCTGATCATTGACTTTAAAAACAGGACGATTATTGATTTTTGGGGGAATAGATCCTGGTTTTTACCTGTGGAGACGATAAGCCCACATTCAATACATTTATTTGCAAGCTATCAAGGAGAGTCTGCGGCCGGTTGTCACTGCGTGTTAATAAAAACGATAGCAAAATAGAAGTGCTATACCATGTATCAAAACAATGTAATATAACTAGTGTATATTTTATTTATAATTAAATATTATTATGATTATTATGATAAAATACTGAAAATTTTAATTTAAGAAAACGATAATATAATAAATATTGCCAAGACAAACAAACTGCTGTATACCTAATCGTGTTTTTTTTTAAATAATAAAAATACAACTTGCACCGAATATTTCTTTCATTTTTTAACATGTATTAATTTAATTATTGTAGAGATAACAAAGGCATTGTATTTTATTGTCTATAGCCGTAGTTTAAATGAAGGCTTGTGTGTGTGTGGTGGTGGATGTGGCAACAGTGTGCGGGAGGTGTGAGTCAGCTGGGCGTAAACACTGCCGCTGCTGCACCATGGCCGACCCCAAGTATGCTGGCCTCCCTGGCATTGTAAGTCTCTCTCTCTCTCTCCGCCTCTATTGCCTTCACTCACACTCACACACACACGCACACACGACAACCTGAGCTGTGTTAGGGTAAACACAAGGGTAATATATATATATTTTCTCAGGATAACATATACATCTGGAATGATGACTGGTAGGGCTTGAGCCCACTTTGACACTTAATTAGACCTCTCCTGAACTGCTGTTAGATTGGATGGGTTGTTATAGTGCTCGTAAACACACTTGAACTGCTGTTAGGCCGGATGGGTTGTTATAGTGCTCGTAAACACACTTGAACTGCTGTTAGACTGGATGGGTTGTTACAGTGCTCGTAAACACACTTGAACTGCTGTTAGACCGGATGGGTTGTTACAGTGCTCGTAAACACACTTGAACTGCTGTTAGACTGGATGGGTTGTTACAGTGCTCGTAAACACACTTGAACTGCTGTTAGACTGGATGGGTTGTTACAGTGCTCGTAAACACACTTGAACTGCTGTTAGACCGGATGGGTTGTTACAGTGCTCGTAAAAACTATTAGCAGATTGTGGTATGGGAATTGATATGGAGGAAGGAGGTAATAAAAGTATGTGTTTGTGGGAGAAACATTGGCAAAATGATCAGGGAAAGAGAAGAGCCTCAAATTAACAATACACTTAGGGTATATTACACTAACAGTAGAAGTCTAAGAAACAAAATAAGTGATTTAAATGCTCTTGTCTGCACAGAAAAAAATAGATATTATTGCACTTACCGAAACGTGGATGAATGTAGAAAATAGAGAATTATTAGCTGAATATCAAATAAATGGATTTAAACTATTTCACACAGATAGGTATATTAGACGAAGAGGTGGAGTAGCCATATATGTTAGGGACAATTTGAAATGTAGTCCCAAAGAGGGAATCAAAACTGAGTCACACAAAATATTTGGATAGAATAAATGAAAGAGTAAATAATCTTATAATAGGAGTTATATATAGGCCACCAAACTTAAACAGGTTGGAAGCACAGCACTTATGGGATGAAATATCTAGAGCCTCTAGGTCTAGCAGTATTTGTGTCATGGGTGACTTTAATTTCAGTGGAATAAATTGGTGTAACAGAACAGGGAATAATGAAGCAGAAGATTTTCTAGAATTAATTGAAGATTGCTTTCTTAGCCAACACATTAAGGAACCAATGCGGGAAAATGATGTTTTAGATTTAGTGTTAACTAACAGGGAAACACAAATTAATGACATTGAAATAAGGAGTGAGCTAGGGGACAGTGATCACAAAGAAATCAAATTTAGCATAGAATGGAATAGGTCTGTAGGAGAAAATTCTGTTAAAGTGCCAGATTTTCAAAAATCTGATTTCAATAGCCTAAGAAATTTTTTGGGTCAAATAGATTGGAAATTCTTGGGCATGGGGGGGGTGGGCTGGTCTTGGAGCGAGATGTGAACCCAGTGATAGGTGACGTAAAAGGGGATTTCGATGTGGATTCAAAATATAACTTATTTAAAAATATTCTAAGCAAAGCACAGGAACGTAGTATACTATACAAATTGAATAGATCGAATACTAATGACCCAAAGTGGATGACAAAGGAACAGAAGAACCCTTAAGCCTAAAGTTTTTTTCAGTTATATCGTACAAAGACCAGGGAAAGAATAGGTCCATTAAAAACCGAGACAGGTCAAATAACGGATAATGAGGAGATGAGTAGTATTTTTAATCAATATTTTATATCTGTATTTACTAAAGAGGAACTTAACAATATGCCTTCAGCCGAGCAAGTCTATGTGGGTGGGGACGAGGACAGGTTGACAGGTTTAGCAGTTACCAGGGAGGATGTAATTAAACAAATAGTAAAACCTCTGGCCAAACAAATCCCCAGGGCCGGATGAAGTGTTTGCCAGGGTGCTTAAAGAATGCAAAGAGGAGCTTTGTGAGCCACTGCCTACCACATTTAATAAATCAGTAGAGTCAGGCAGAGTGCCAGAGTCATGGAAGGTTGCTAATGTGGTACCAATTTTTAAGAAAAGAGATAGATCACTTGCTTCAAACTATTGGCCAGTTAGCCTAACGTGTATTGTGGGAAAGTTACTTGAATCAATAATTGCAAATACAATTCGTCTTCATCTTGAAAAACATAAATTAATAATTGAGTCGCAACATGGTTTTACAAATGGCCATTCATGTTTAACAAATTTGCTATCTTTTTATTCCAGCATTGTTAAGACAGTTGATAGTAGTAAGGATTGTGATGTTGTGTACCTTGACTTTAGCAAAGCTTTTGATACTTCTTGAGGTTATCTTGAGATGATTTCGGGGCTTTTTAGTGTCCCCGCGGCCCGGTCCTCGACCAGGCCTCCACCCCCAGGAAGCAGCCCGTGACAGCTGACTAACACCCAGGTACCTATTTTACTGCTAGGTAACAGGGGCATAGGGTGAAAGAAACTCTGCCCATTGTTTCTCGCCGGCGCCTGGGATCGAACCCAGGACCACAGGATCACAAGTCCAGTGTGCTGTCCGCTCGGCCGACTGGCTCCCTTACCGGATACAGTGCCACATGAAAGGCTGATTAAAAAGATAGAGGCTCATGGTATTGGGTGTGCTATATTAAGTTGGATTAGGGCATGGCTATTCCAAAGGAAACTGAGTCAGTATAAATGGGGTCAAGTCAGAGTGGAATAATGTTGTAAGTGGAGTACCTCAAGGCTCTGTCCTGGGACCTCTGTTTATAATATATAAATGATATAGATTAAAGTTTGAGTAGCAACATTTGCAAATTTGCAGATGATACAAAAATCGGTAGGGAAATTAACACGGAAGAAAACTCACTATCACTTCAAGTGTATCTAAATAGGGTTTTGAAATGGTCAAAAGATTGGCAGATGCAGTTTAATGCTGATAAATGTAAAGTTTTTAGGCTAGGTAATGATAGTTACAAGATATGAGCTGGATGATGTTGACATTGCCAAGTCTGATTGCGAAAGGGATCTGGGAGTTATGATTAGTAAGAATTTAAAACCAAAGGATCAATGCATGAATGTTCGTAATAAGGCGAATAGGACACTGGGATTTATTAATCGAAGTGTTAGTAACAAGACATCTGGGGGTGTTGTTCAGCTACATCTTGCTCTGGTTAGGCCCCATTTGGATTATGCAGTTCAGTTTTGGTCGCCGTACTATAGAATGGATATAAATTCACTTGAACGTGTCCAGCGTAGGATGACAAAGTTAATTCCCCAAATTAGAAATCTTTCATTTGAAGAAAGATTAACAAAGCTTAACCTGAATTCACTGGAAATGCAATAAGTAGGCTAGAGAGAGGTGAGGAGCAAAGTGTAGTAGAGGAGATAGTAGTAGGAACAAGAACTGCAGAGGGCCTATTGGCCCATACGAGGCAGCTCCTATTGTAACCACCTAATGAGAAGGAGATAGTAATAGGAATAAGAAGAGGATAGTAAGGGAACGTAAAGAAAACAGAACAGAAATGAGAGAAGAGAGAAAGAAAAGGAGAGAGAAAGAAAGATAAAGAGAAGGGCAAGCTTATGTTAGGTCACGTTTGTTAGAAAGATTAGAGCATTTAAGTATATACTGTACTGTGAAAGGGAAGAGTCCACAGTAACAAAGCCAGGACTGAAGTTCATGTTTGGGCTTGGGGAGTAGAAGAACTCCCAGAACACCATCAAGCAGGTATCCATATCAGCCTGGATAGCTCTGGGGAGCCTCCGGGTCTCGCCCAGAAAATGGCATTTCATTGTTTTCAACTTCAACTCAGTTTTTTTAAATTCAGTTTTTTTTTACCATATTCTCAATTTTTCACCTCTTGAGGTTATCTTGAGATGCTTTTGGGGCTTAATGTCCCCGCGGCCCGGTCCTCGACCAGGCCTCCACCCCCAGGAAGCAGCCCATGACAGCTGACTAACACCCAGGTACCTATTTTACTGCTAGGTAACAGGGGCATAGGGTGAAAGATACTCTGCCCATTGTTTCTCGCTTGCGCCCGGGATCGAACCCAGGACCACAGGATCATAAGTCCAGCGTGGAGTCCGCTCGGCCGACCGGCTCCCTTTTACTCCACCGAGTGAAAATTCGTTGCAGAATCTATGTACTGTACTGTACTGTAGTTTTCTAATCTGTGGTTGGTTATGTCCAGATAGATTTTCTGGTATAATATTATTGTTTGCCATTCTCCATTTTAGACGTTGCAGGTTGAAGTTACCTAGGAAGATAATATCGGGTATTATGCCAAATTATCGAGGCTATTCTCTATTTTGTTTATCTGTTCTGTGAATTCCTCAGACATTGCTGAGACACATAACGAATTTGGTTTTCACCAATATGTTAATAAACCCATGAAATCACCTGCCAAAGCAATAAATGACACGAGACAATGCTGAACCAGAGTTCACAGTTCACCTGGAAAACATCCTTGGGAATAATGGGAAGGTACTTTGATAGATCACTAGCTTCCTGTTCCCATTGAAGCCAATAGACATAATAACCCATGGACAGATTCTGAAACGTGTACGCGGTAGGTTGTGTACGAAATGGGCTCTTGCGACCTCCAGTGAGAGGCAGCCATCTTCAAAAAATTTCCCATAATGCCTGAAGGCTGCTGGCTGGGTTAGTACTGAGTGAGCAACCATGGGTGGCTCCCAATCACCTGTCCGACGCAGTGTTGAAAGATCGCTCTCTGTCGGTAAAATTCAGAACTTATTGTTTGAAGAACATAAGGGTCATGATATTGATGAAGCTAGACGGAATAAGAACCTAACACAAAGGTGGGATGCAAGTGATACAGTACAGATGAGAATGATACAGCGAGCGTATCCAGTTATAGCTTTGAGGGGCCACCCTTGTCATCTCCAATTTTTATAGATGATACATAGAGGAATCATTTTCTGAGTTCAGTGATGATGCATCTGATACAAGTAACATAGATGAACAGTGTTCTTGGCTTCCATGGTGGTGTTTTACATAGATATTTTAAAAAATAGCTGAATCTCTTCCAGAATGCCTGAATCTCTTCCAGATTGACTGACACTCTTTGAGGTTGGCTGAATCTCTTCCAGTGTGGGACCTTACAAAGCGATCTTTTCAAGACCATCTTACAAATTTATTTTTATCTATAATCTTTTCAAGACTACCTTATGCTTTACAAGCTTGGCTACATACCACCTACAGGTACTAAAGCCAAGGGTGTACATTAGTGCATTATTTGTAATCACACAGAATGAAGAAACAGTAAGTGAAAATCTATCTGTACCTGGTGCAACGAGAGTTAAGTCGTGCTGTACTGTATACCATGGACTGCTTCGTTGATTATCACTCACTTCCGAAGTACTGAGTGTGTAATGCAGTGTGTTACTGCGTAAATAGTGTGAGAAATTGTATATATTGTAATTTTAGTGAATTTTGAACAAGTAATATTGCGACAATAAACATTTATTGTGGACATATTACCGACATATGTATCACAGTTCTATGGAACATTATGAACGTTCTACTGTATACATATTGTAAAGAACACAAATACGCAACATATACGATAAAAAACAAATAAAACCTCATTAAAATACATAGAATAAATAATTGAAAATATATCCGTGGCAACTCGCGGTATTGAATGGCCAGCGCGACCGTCTCTGGGAGCTTTATGCACTGGCGACCAGCCCGTGACGCCCCCTTCTTCATGTCCCCACAGCCAAAGTAAGTGGATTTTTTTTTTAAGATGTACGTGGTTTGGAAAGGGAATTTATCATTTTACAAAGTTCATTTTTTTTTTTTTTTTTTTTGCAAATACTTGATTTTATGCTCACGGGAAATGTCACAATAAACTTGTAAGGTTAGTTTGTGTGTGCATTATTGTGTCCTTCCTCTTGTGTTGCAATTATGAAATACTCTATTGTGACCTGCTGTTTTGATTTGTTTATAGTTTTTAATGTATATTTTACCCCTTGTGTAATTATTTCGAATGTCTGAACACGAGGTTGAATTGGTTTATAGAATAAATTAGATATGTGACTATATCTTTTTCTCCATATTTTATGAGAGACTTGCTTCAGGTGTATGACCAACCAGATGTATACGAGACATGTGAACTGCCCGAGAGCGAGCAAGATTATACATTGAACGAGTGTGGAGACAGCAGTGGTGCCGTGGAAACGCTCCATATATCTGCTAATGATGCACATTCTCATTTTAAGGGCAAGGTTAGTGTCATTCCTCTATTACATTGTCAATTGGTTATTATATATTGTCAATTGTTATATTGTTTCTTTGACTTCTCTAGGCTGATGCCTCTTCAGCCCATGGAAGTTGGAAAGGGGTACTGATGTCCACCAATATAACTGCATAATATGTATGTATGTGTGTGTACTCACCTAGTTGTACTCACCTGTGTGTGTATGTAATTACCTAAGTGTAATTACGTAAGTGTAATTACCTAAGTGTAGTTACAGGATGAGAGCTACGCTCGTGGTGTCCCATCTTCCAAGCACTCTGTCATATAACGCTTTGAAACTACTGAGGGTTTTGGCCTCTACCACCTTCTCGCCTAACTTGCTCCAACCATCTACCACTCTGTTTGCAAAAGTGAATTTTCTTATATTTCTTTGGCATCTTTGTTTAGTTTAAATCTATGACCTCTTGTTCTTGAAGTTCCAGGTCTCTGGAAATCTTCCCTATGAATTTTATCAATTCCTGTTACTATTTTGTATGTAGTGATCATATATCCTCTTTTTCTTCTATCTTCTAGTTTTAGCATATTTAAAGGGCCCAGTGACGTAGAGTATTTTTCAAAATATGAAAAATTAAAAAAAAATCTCCAGTTATTTGCCATCAGCATCCTGAAATTTTCATCCCAGTATGTTAAGACATTATTTTTTTACGATTTGTTTTTGTAAATATATGTGAGAGACTGAGGGGCAACTGGTACCGATAATAATGATAACACCTATATACACTACTGGCAATCAGGGATAAAGAGATGTAAGCACCTGTCTGAGGCACAAAGAAGACCAGTAGTAGTTAGGAAGGTCTACATAGTGGATATGCAGCTGGAGCCACCTGGCAGGCCAGAGTTAACACATAATAATGAGTTAGTATGTTGTTATGCTCTATTTTATTATATATCATATAAATGCATTGCCCCAATGGCAGTATTTTTTACGTCCCATTGTACAAAATGCTGACAACCACTTCTATTTTTTTGTTTTTTTGTTTTTTTGTTTTTTTATTTTTCCCTTTTGTTTTTAATTGGATTTTCATGTAACTACATCCTGGAGAATACATATCCGGCACTAGGCATGTAAACTTTTAACAAAATTTGTCAACATTTTATTCAGCCACAGGTGGAGGAATGTGTGACTTTTATTTTTGGGGGCCGATTTGTTTTCAGATTTCATTTTGCAGGCATATTTTCTTTGTCTCTAGGTTGTACTGATGAATTGAGGACCAGATGAGAGCCTTATCACTTATATATGGTCAATAAAGTTACTGCAATATATATGTTTGTTATCCCTATATTTTCCCTATCCCTATATTTTCTGTGGGGAGCCCCTATGGCACTCTGGAGCTTATTGGGCTAATGTATGTAATATTAAACTGGGACTTTAGCTAAGGAGTTCAGACCTACCAGGGACCAGCGCCAGAACCTGGCCCCTTCAGAGAGGTTTCAGGGAGCAATGGCCCCAGGAAAGCCTCTTTGTGGTTGGGGTTTTCCTTATCTGCCATCGATCGGGGTTCGGCACCCAGAAAGGTAGGCATAACAAAACAAACCCCACATGGTAAAAATCTAAAACAAAAAACCGAACAGAGAGGTAGAAACTCCCTACAATCACAAGGAAACAAGCAAGCATCACACTTACTGCCGCGCGATCGTCCGCGCAGCCCTCCCCGCCCCAAGAGGGGGCGGGGGAGGGCTGCGTTGTGTTGTGTTGTGCGGTGGCCAGGAGTACCTCATCAGTGCCAGGCTGCATGCGCTTAGTGACTGACTTCCGTAAGCGCCCTGTGAGTACTGCCCCTGCGTAACAGAGTTATCTTACCTGGGGCGTTCGGGAACCATTCCTGTAGAGGTTCTTGCTGCTTGGCATTTGCCTCGCCCTTGGGGCCAGCTGGGGCTGGGGGCCCTTGCTTGGCCCTGGGTAGGGATTGGTATTGTGCTGGTTAGGGCGTCAAGGTGTTGCACAGCCTGCCACCTAAGCGGCGACGGGTTCCTGTTGCCTCGGGAGATGGTGTACTTTTGTGAGGTTTTTCTTTTGTTTTTATTTTCATGCCTGGTGGGGGTCTGCCCAGTGTGGCTATAGTTCTACTGGTAGTGTTTGGCAGCCCTCTGCTAGGCCCCCGTGGCTGTACTCGTCGCAGAGGTTTTCAGTGCTATCCTCTACCCTCTTATGTTATGACCATTTCCCCTGGGGGTTCTGTCTGGGGGCTGTGCTTTGCCTTTCTGTGGTGTTTCTCCGCCGGCAAATGTGGTGGTTTGGGCTTCCCCTGGTTCGTTTCCGGGTTCCTTTGGGTTCTTTGGTTTCGTTCCGGAGGTTTCTTCCTCTTGGGCTCATTGTGGGTTCAGGGGGTTTTGTTTCCTCGTGTGACCCAGTTCTGCCTTCTGGAGTTCCGGGGTTTTCCTGGCTTGCAGACTGATCTGCAAACCAGGAAAAGGGGCACGAACCAAAACGGGACACGAACCAAAACGGGGCTGCCCCGTTTTGGTTCGTGTTGGGACTTGGGGGTGTTGGTTGCTTCGGTTCCTTCCACGCCCCCTTGTCTTTCCCCTGGATATCCCCCCTCCTGCCTACATCCGGTTCCTTACCGTCTGGTTTTGGGGCGGGGTTTGATGGTTTTGAGACTCGGGCAGTCTCTGGGAATTCCCCTTCTGGGGTAGTGACGGGGGCATTTGAGCCTGTTCCTCCAGCCGTGTTGTTAGAGTCTGCCAGTGGGGTCCCTTCCTTAGTATTTTCATGGCTGCCCCAGTTTTCTGGTACGGCCGGGGCTTTGGGGGCACGGCTCGGCCCCAGGGCCTGTCGTGTGGGTTCCCGGAGCTGGGGAGTGGCTGACTTGGGGGCCTTAGCCCCGTAGGACCCCGGGGGGGGGGGGGTTCTCCCCCTCTAGGCGGGGCTTGTGGTTACGCGAAGTGGGGTTTTTCCCTCCGTACTCGCCGTACGTGTTGTTGGGCGCCGGCCCCTCCCCAGGCTCTGTTCCTTGGCCTTTGAGTCAGTTGGTTCCATCCTGTAGGTGGATGCTCCCCCCTTTTTTAGGACGGTGTCTTCGTCATGTATCCCCGTTCTTGGGGTTCTACATGACTTCTGGTCTCGGGTAATTACCTAAGTGTAATTACCTAAGTGTAGTTACAGGATGAGAGCTACGCTCGTGGTGTCCCGTCTTCCCAGCTCTGTCATATAACGCTTTGAAACTACTGACGGTCTTGGCCTCCTCCACCTTCTCACCTAACTTGTTCCAACCGTCTACCACTCTGTTTGCGAAAGTGAATTTTCTTATATTTCTTTGGCATCTGTGTTTAGCTAGTTTAAATCTATGACCTCTTGTTCTTAAAGTTTCAGGTCTCAGGAAATCTTCCCTATCGATTTTATCAATTCCTGTTACTATTTTGTATGTAGTGATCATATCACCTCTTTTTATTCTGTCTTCTAGTTTTGACATATTTAATGCCTCTAACCTCTCCTCGTAGCTCTTGCCCTTCAGTTCTGGGAGCCACTTAGTAGCATGTCTTTGCATCTTTTCCAGTTTGTTGATGTGCTTCTTAAGATATGGGCACCACACAACCTCTGCATATTCTAGCTTTGGCCTAACAAAAGTTGTGAACAATTTCTTTAGTATATCGCCATCCATGTATTTAAAAGCAATTCTGAAGTTAGAAAGCGTGGCATAGGCTCCTCGCACAATATTCTTTATGTGGTCCTCAGGTGATAGTTTTCTATCTAGAAACCACCCTTAGATCTCTTTCTTTATCAGAATTCTTTAACCCTCAAACCGCGCTTATCATATATAAATGATATCAGTGACAAAACCGAAACCGCGCACATCATTTATATATGATTTCGTGTCTAGCGCTATAATTTAAACGCCCCGCCTGGGATAGGGGCAGCTATAGTACAGCAACGACCGATAGTTGCCAGATGCCACCAAGAAAAAAAATCCAGGCCAACATTCTTGGGTGTTAGAGCATCAGTATTGAGCAAGTTACCAAGGCTGGCGCACGCAGCACTAGCTCACAGCACTGCTGTTCAGCTTGTGACCACAGCAACGCCTACAAATACCATAATATAAATGATACTGCTATTATTTAGCAGTGATAGTATTACTGAAGCCCCCTGACTGTGATAAAACTGATCAGGATTCTGATAATAGCAGGATTGTGGTGATATTTAGCGCTGTGCTCCATGGAGGGAGGAGTAATGCTGTGGGAGGGAGGGTGGTGGCGTCGTCGTCTGACTGTGTGGTCACCTTATATTGACTGCACTTACCATACCAGCTTAGTGGTTCGCTATGGAGGACACAAATGTAGATACTTATATATAACGTGTGTATAGTGTGAGATAACAGCGAGAGGAGTAGGTTGGGAGCCGCCATTTTGGTGAGGGAGGAGCGTCGTCTGCACGACTTGGCATGTTTACTGATGGCCACTATGGTCATTGGGCACCATACCAGCTTGTTTGTACAGGTATGGTGAATAAAACAAGTAGATTCTTATATAGTGTGTATATAGCGTAATAACACCACAAGCAATATTGTTGGAGGAGAAATATTAGTGCTTCTGGCCTTGAGGGCGGCCGCCGATCAGCTGACTGTGTGAGTAGCTATGTCTTTGTGCCTTTACTCACCATACAAGCTTAGATGTACAGTTATGGTGAACAAAACATGTAAATACGTATATATAACGTCTGTGTATAGTGAATAAATGCTAAAACAGTATTGTGGGAGGAGAATGAGGGTGAGTGAGGTGGTGTTGAGGGAGGGAGTGGCTCGCTGGTGTTTGGCGGTCACTCCTCGTTGCTTTTTGACTCACAAGACCAACTTAGTAGTTCGTTATGGTGAACAAAACATGCAGATACTTATATATAACCTGTGTATATAGTGTAACAACAGCAAAACTATTTGTTTATTGTTTTATGAACATAATAATTGAATCACTAATATGCACACCATAATTTTGAGTACGGCGATGGTTCACACATTTTATTATATAAATATACCACAATTCACTGTATGGAATAATATTACTGCAAAAAAACTAAGAAAAAATCAACCAGAGACATTGAAATAATTAGGTAATAATATATTTGTGGCAACTGCCGTCTGACAGCTCGGGCGGAGTAGACCTCGTCTGGCGAAGGCTCTGTCAACGCCCCTTTTTTGCCACACTTCCCTACCCTATAACTGCTTAAATATGCCACCTACGATTTTTTTGTTATTTATTCCGTGATCAGGGAACAAAAATGAACACTTCTATAAGACGAAAGAATTTTTTGGATTTTTTTTTTTTTGTTGCGCCTGTGGGTGTGAATTCCATTTGGGCCCCTAGCGGTTTGAGGGTTAAAGATATCTCGCATAATATATAGGTTGTGTGAGGTCTATGGGTGCGACTGTGCCTGTGTGTGCCTTCGGGACTGGTGTTTGCTTCTGTGTTCTTGAGGGTTCGGGAAGGTTTTCGCTACTTCACGTATTATTGGAATGTCTGTCGGCTCCTAGTCCGGGTCACCGTATTGGGCTACTTGTGGCCCAGTTGGGCTACTCGTAGCCCGGTTGAGTTCCCTTTGGGCTCTGTCTTCACTTAGTTGGCTGGTTTTGTTGTTACTGCTTCCTCTTTTGGCTATTTTTCTAGTGCAGTCGTCTTAGTTGGCGCCTTCCCGCAGAGCGGGTTGTGTGGTTCGTCCAGTGTGTCATGCGCATGCGCTGTGGAGTTTGTTTTGGTCTGGGCGGTTTGTTTCAGTGCTGGTGTTTTGTGTCCTTTTTTCTTGGGTGCTTCGCCTCTCGCTCTTCTCCCTTTCTCCGTTATGTGCCCCTTCACTCCGGGGGTGTCCTGGATTCCACCTGTAGGGAGAACAACAAGGTTTTCCCTGTGTCATGGGTGTGGGCCTCCTCCTTCACCTCTACCCTGCTCTCCTGTGTGTCCGACTCTGGCTTCTTCACCTGGCGGTGCTCCCAGGATCTTCTGGGCACTGTTGGGTCGTGTCACGTTCGTGCCTCCGTTCGACAGGTAAGTTTCTGCGGTCTGGCGTCTTTTGGCCGGGCGCTGGATGCAAAGATGTTTATATACCTGTCTTTATTTAGGTATATTTATGTACTAATGAGACCATTCGCACACCAGTGACTCCCTTTCCAACCTTTCCAGTCCCACTCATGTGCATGTCCAACCCATGCTAGAGTCATTCAGGGAACCCACCTCTTTCATGTTATGAGGTGTGTGGGTTGTGATGCTGGTTATGTACTCACCTGGTTGGGCTCTCCTGATTGTGCTTGCGGGGTTTGAGCTCTGGCTCTTGGGTCCCGCCTATATGGAAGGACTTGTGGGATAGTACCAGTGGAGTGCAGTGGTGCCATAGGCACAATCAGGGAACACTGTATAACCATCAGAGGTCTGTGGTTGTTACACGTCCTACCTGCGAGCATCCGCCGTATTGCCGGTACGTCCGTGGAATTCCATGGAACACTAGCCTGTTTTCGAATAGAGGTTTCGGCCCATCCTGGCTGTGGTGGGTATGTGGGCCTGTGGGCTGCTCCAAGCAATAGCCTGGTGGAGCACCCTCTCACATATCAAGCCTAGCCTCGGGCCGGGCTTGGGGAGTAAATGAACTTTCTGAACCCCATCCAGCAGGTATCAGGCTGGTATTTCTGCTGTTGGTCGCTGGGTGTGCAGGTTCCTGGGCCAGCTGGGTTCTATCGTGTCACCGTTGGCCCTGTCCGGGGTCTGCCTGCACCGTTCTCTGCCTTTGCAGAAGCAAGTTGCTATTTACATGTTGCATGTTGTGGTGGTGCATGTTGCGGCTGCACGTGTGCATTGGTAACGTGTTTCGCCGTGGCGTGTCCTTGTTCCTGTGTCCGGTTGTGGTGTGGCACTTTGCTGCTGTTTTGTGCATGGGGTTGGCGTCTGGGTGTGTGTTTGTTATTTTTTGCGGTCTTCGGGTCCCTGGCTTGGCCCTTCCATGTGTGTGGGGTTCTGTCCCTGCCTGATTGTCCATCCCTGATTGTTTCCTGGTGTTTGAGCTTTGGCTCTTTCATCCTGCTTTTCCCCAGTCACTTCCCTGGCATCTCCTTTGGTCGGTTTTGCCTGCTCTTTCTGCTATGGGGGGGGGGGTCAGTTTCTACCGCTTCCCTTCCTTGTGTGCTCCCTCTGTTTCCTCCTCTCCCGCAGGGGTGTTCTTTGTGCTTTCCTTGGCTTTTTGGGCGTTATTTCAGCCTGTGTCCTATGGTGCACTTATGTGTCTTGGTCTGTTTTCGTTGCTCGTACCCCCTTGGTTCAGGTACTGTTCTGGTGGCAACCCTTATGCCTTCTTCGGTTTTCCTGGCTTGCCCTGCTGGTTGGTTTTTCAGGGTCTTATGATGTCTCGCGTCGGACCCGTCATTTCTTATCTCCTGGCGGGCTTGCTTGCATTGGGGAGTTTTCTGTTCGGCAGACGTTCCATCTCCTTGGTGCCTCCTGGGCTTTGGTGGTCGCGCCCGAGATTTTCTCGTGGCTCCGCCTTTTCCTGGGCTTGGAGGTGCCTTGTCAGGGCTGCTTACATTCTGCCTTGTGTCTCTCACCTCTGGTGGCTTCGTGGTAGGTGTCCCACCTGTGTATTTCTTGGCGGCAGTATGGGGTATTTTGGCGGTCCCTTCTTTTCCTCCTGTCCCTTCTTAGGTGGCTGCAGTTGTTAGCGTCAGCTTGGTTTTTTCTGGTGGGGTTGGGGGACGTCGTCTTGCCACGTACTGTCGCCTCGTTTCGTGCGGCGCTGGCGGAGCCGCTTCGGCCTGCTTTCAGTCTTGGTGTTGCTTCTGCATCGTTAGTACGCTGTCTCGTGTGTTGTTTCACCTCCGGCCTGTTCGTGCGCCGCTTGCACCGTCCAGGTCTCTGGTCAGCGTGTGCTGTCTTCTCCTCGGTTGGTGGTGCCCCTTCGGTTCCGGTTTGTTTTTTCGTCAGCTCTTTTTCCTGTTGGCATTTGCCTCTGGGGGGTTGGGTCGCTGAGCTTCTTGCTCCTCCGTGGGGGGTTTTCTGCTCCTTCGGTTTTGGCGTTTTGGTTGTTTCGGTGGCAGAAAGTCTCCATCTTTTTTTGGCACGGGTTGGGGCTGCTGCGTTCCGGAGGGGTCCTTAGGTTGTCGGTGCTTGGTGTGTCGGGCCGGGGGTGTGTCGTGTTTTTATGTTCAATGGCGGCCCTCCGCTGTTATTTGCGTGCCACGGCCTTTATGTCCGGTGCGTGTTTTGAGTTCATCCGGTTCCGTTCTTCCCTGTTCGCAGGTGACGGTGTCCCAGGTTGTCAGCCGTGTTCTTGCGGCTAGTCTGCCTGTGTTCTTTCCCCATGCCCGTGGCATTCGTGGCTTCGCTGCTCTTGCTGCTGTCTCGGCGGCATGTCCTTGCTGTCATTCGGGCACGAATCTTTGGTGTTCGTACAGGGGCCTTGCTGCTCGTTGTCTCGTGTTGCTCCCGGGCCCTTTTTTCGGGCTCTGTCGCCTTGGGTTGGCGTTGGCTGCCGGTTGTCTCGCTTCTGTTGAGGGGTGCTTGGTGTCTGCCTCCCGGTTCCTTCCCTTTGACCTTCCTCTGTGGGTAGTTAGCTCCAGAGAGCCGACGGGGCTCCCCCCAGAAAACCAGTGTTGAGTGTAATGAACGCCATTTTCTGGGTGAGACCCGGAGGCTCCTTGGCAACCCTCCCTCCCTCTGGTCGGCGTTTTTTCGCGTGTTTTGACATCCAGCCTCAGAACTGATGGGTGGATAGCCGGCATGAGAGGTCCGGGGCTCCCCCTTCCCCCTCCTGGGGAGGGGGGAGCTGCGCAGACAGCGGCGCGGTGACGTGTGACGTCGTACTAGTTTACTTGTTTTCTGTTGGGGAGTTCTATCCACTAGTTCGGCTTTTGGTAGTAATTTTAACCAGAATAGGTGTTTGTTTTGGAATGCTTACCTTTCTGGATGTTTGACCCGGTCGATGGCAGACATAGAATGCTTCCAACCACACGGGGGTTTCTATAGGCCATTGCTCCCCTTGTCTCTCTGAGGGGGCCAGGTTCTGGCCATGGTCCCCGGTAGGTCCTAGAACTCCATACACATGACTGATGCCAAAGTCTGACATTAGCATATCAGCCTGGTAAAGCTCCGGGGAGCCTCTGGGTCTCGCCCAGAAAATGGCATTTCATTACAACGCTGTAATTTTTTTTTTTTTTTTTTTTTTTTTTTGCGCCTGTAGGTGTTGAAGGCCAGATAGCCCAGAGCAGCCCAGGGGTTAAACTTTCTCTATAAGAAGAAAGAAGTTTTCTATATCCAGGGATTATTCTGAGCATTTTCAAAATTTTGAAGAGATTGGTGGGCAAATTTGTCATGTTTAAGTGGCCCCATTATGGGACGGTATGGAAATGGGAGGTGCCCCCTGTTCATTAAGATGCAGTAAAGAATTGCTAGCTGCTATGGTACAATAATATAAAATACTCTGCACTAAACCTGCATAATAGAAAAATATTACATTTTCAAAGTGGTATTGAAACAAAACTTCTTGATACAAAATTGCGTTGCCCAATTCTATGCAAAGCACAGGCAGCATTTACTCATTGCATCAGCATGTATTCATTATAGTCTGCTCAGGTGTTCATTTACCTCATGATTCTTGTGTGTATACCTCTTGAACAATATACATGAAAGTAAAATAGTGTAATAGAGAATGTAATAATGTAATTGATGATGATAATTTAATAAAGTACAATTGTCCAAAGACTAGAATTAACAATTCCTAACTACAAGTTCATCACAATATTTTCTTTGGCCTTGAATGATAAGAAATCCTCAGGTGTTTTTAGCTGAAAATAGATTACAACTACAGTAGGATATAAGATTGCAACATATTTTTGTTATAAATCGTTAATATAGGTTGTGGTCCTTACATAGTTCTAGATCCTTTCTGCAATAATATTTTCCAGTTTTTGAGAGGTTATCTTTTGCAGATATTGGATGCATCTCATGTTGATTTCTCCGATCGAATTTCTTGCTCCCGTCGTCGTGGTTATGATGCAAGGTTAGGCTTTATTTTATTAATTAGTATTAGTAAGTTGTATTAATCATTTAAACTTTCATGCTAAATACCTTTGAGAGTGAATATACTGTAGTTAGGAAGTTAAGAAAACAGCTCTAAATATTGTCATAAACTGTTTAATGATATTGCAGTTCAGTACTGTACAGTATTTGTATTTACCTTCCTAAAAGTAAGATGCTCAGCAAATTTAACTAATAAAATATTTAAATTATGTATGTGTGTTCATATGTGCTCATAATTAGAGCTTCAGCTCTTGGGTTGTACATAATGTATCAGCAGTTCTCCCTATTATGAACAGGTTATGTTCTGAAAATGTTTGTAAAGCATTAGTTCAGAATGTAGAATATTTCCCTTAGGCACAATCCTATAAATGTGCGATATAACCCCAGTCAACAAAAATCATCCCAAAGTGAATGCAGTAATTTTGGGAGACATAAAAACACAACATATTGCAAGGGGTACCCGGTTTAAGAGTTTAATCCATTCCTGGAGACATCTCGTAACCTGAAAACTCATAAACTGAAGTAATTTCCCCATGAGAAATAATGGGAAATGAATTAATCCATTCCTGACTACCCAAAAACTTCACTTCAAACTAAATTGTATACCTAGTTCATCCAAATCTACACAACAAAAGTATGTTCAAGTTATTACTTAGCCTTGTTGATGACGCCTGTTGGTGTATGGAAGATGGTGAGGAGGGGGGAGGAGAAGAGGTGTTACTGTTTAGAAGGGGAGTCCCTTTCCATTATAACATCAGGCAGTGAAGATTTTTCTGGAGTGCACTCTGGCACGTTTTGCCTGTATACCACTAGGTCCTGGTTGTGGCTCACTGCTTGATTTTCTCACTTTTCTCACAAGGAAACGTTCCATTGAAGATTGTTTTTCCCTTTTTTGCAACACTTGTCTGTAGTGAGGCATCACATTGTCATTGAAAAGATTAATGCAACGGCCTACTACAGCTTTCTCTGGGTGATTCTTTTCAAAAGAGCCAATTACCGCATCGAACCTCCATGATTCAGGCATTGAACCAAATTACCAGGGAACAGCCTGATTGGAGCCGGATCGCCGATCCGTGAGCGACTCGAATCCTCTGGAGCGACATCCACACAGCCGCAAACTTCTGCACTGTGTTGTGAGCCTGACGGAAGGACATACCCCACCGTCCCTGGCCGGTTTGGTGAGCACTGGTCACAAAGCCTCAGCCAAGAGACAACATGTCCGTGAACACATCAAGCGAGGGCGCAGGTAGATGCCAAGGCAATGAACCCTGAAAACCCCGAAGAGGAAGCCACTGGCACAAAGCTTCCGGAGGCCGAACCCAGTAGTCACAAGAGAGGAGGACGGGACATCCCTGAAGGAACCAGAACAGCTGACGAAGCCACACCTGACCTGGCGGGTAGACCATCATGGCAAAGTTCAGGCTCCCGCACAAATCCTTGAGCAACCGCCTTGTGATCCGGAAGCCCCACAGGAACAGAAGGTGGGAACTCAGGTGAAGCAGAGCCACCGGAGAAAGAGACAAGGAAGCGGTTCGGGTGTCCCATAAAAAGACCCAGCCAAGACCGAGACTTAGAGAGGTACCAGATGGGACTTCCGCCAGTTCACTAAGAACCTGAACCCGGCGAGCTAGGAAATAACCAAATCTCAGGCGAGCAAACATGCGTACCTCATGACCTCGGACCTGGAAGCCTAAACCAGCCAGTCGTTGAGGTAGACCAGAACCTGAACAGATGCAGGCAAGCCACCACAACCCGAGCAAGGTGTGTTAAAACGCGAGGCGCCAGATTCAAGCCGAATGGAAGGCCACAATTACCGTTGCCTTCCATTCGGCTTAAAAAGCGGTAACCTTGATGCCCCACAACAAAACCAAGCCAGTCCCTAAACTTCAGATGAATCGGGACATGTCAATACTTGAGGTCCATGGAAACCATCCAAGTGTCCGGCTCCAACAGAAGACAGACCTGGGACAGAGTAGTCATCTGAAAGGAGAGGCCATGAATCCACGGGTTCAGATGGGACAAGTCAGACCCGTGGGTTTATGGCCTCTCCTTTCAGATGACTACTCTGTCCCAGGTCTGTCTTCTGGAGCCAGACGCTTGGATGGTATCCATGGACCTCGAGGACGTGTATTGACATGTCCCGATTCATCTGAACCAGAGGTCCGCACAGTCCCGTTTCAGGACTGGAAACAGGTGGGAAACCCACCTGAGGGATGAGGTCGTTTTGACGACGCCCAAGCGAACCCACTCCGAGATACCCTGACAGCACAGAAGAGGCCTGCCCTGCCAGCCTCGAACCCCCCGAAGGAGGAGGAGCCACCCAACTATTGTTGGGGGAGAAATTTTATTGTGTATGATCTTGAATGAGTGAGAGAGGTAGCCGCCAGCTGACATTGTGTAACAATATTTCTTAGTGCCTGAACTAACTATATCAGCTTAGTTGTACAGTTGTGTTGAAGAAAACATGGGATTCTTATATATAACGTCCGTATACTGTATAGTGAATAAAATAAAAAACTGGATGGTGGGAGGAAAAAGTTGGTGAGTGAGGCGTTGTTGAGGATGTGGCAACGAGTGGCTGGCTGGTGTGTGGAGGTCACTCCTCGTTGCTTTTCGACTCATAATACCAACTTGGGAGTTCGTTATGATGAACAAAACATGCAGATACTTACATATAACCTATGTATAGAGTGTAATAACAGTAAAACTATATGTTTATTGTTTTATGAACATAATAATTGAATCACTAATATGCTTACCATACTTTTGAGATTAGTGATGATTCACCCCTTTTATTATATAAATCTATCACATTACACACAATTGAATAATATTACTGCCAAAAAACTAAGAAAAAATCAGAGACATTGAAACAATTAGGTAATAATATCTTTCTAGCAACTCCTACCTGTCAGCTTGGGTGACGCTGACTCCCACAGACGACTGCTCTGTCAACGCCCACATTTTTCCAGGCTTCCTTGGCCTGGAAAATGGATATATATATATATATATATATATATATATATATATATATATATATATATATATATATATATATATATATATATATATTATTAATAATAATAATAATAATAATATATATATATATTTTCTGTAGGAACCCCTACGGCTCCCTGGAGCTTATCGGGCTAATGTATGTTATATTAGACCGGGACATTAGCTAAGGCCATTCAGGACGTTCAGGCCACTAAGGACGTTCAGACCTACCAGGGACCAGCGCCAGAACCTGGCCCCTTCAGAGAGGTTTCAGGGAGCAATGGCCCTAGAAAACCCCTTTGTGGTTGGGGTTTTTCTTATCTGCCATCGACCGGGGTCAGGCACCCAGAAAGGTAGGCATAACAAAACAAACCCCACATGGTTAAAAACTAAAACAAAAAAATGAACAGAGAGGTAGAAACTCCCTACAATCCCAAGGAAACAAGCAAACAAGCAAACATCACACTTCACTGCCGCGCCGATCATCCGCGCAGCCCTCTCCGCCTCGAGAGGGGGAGGGGGGAGCCCCGGACCTACCGCGCCGGCTGGCTAGCATCAGTTCGTAAGCTAATGTCAACCGGGATAGACACTTCTCTGGCCTCAGTTTCCTAGGCGGTTATTGCCTTGTGTGGCGTTCACTGCAGTGTGTTGTGTTGTGCAGGCTGGGGTACTTCATCAGTGCCAGGGCTGCATGCGCTTAGTGGCTGACTTCCCTAAGTGCCCTGTGAGTACTGCCCCTGCGTAACAGGGTTATTTTCCCTGGGGCGTTCGGGAACCATTCCTGTAGAGGTTCTTGCTGCTCAGCATTTGCCTCGCCCTTGGGGCCAGCTGGGGCTTGGGGCCCTTGTTTGGCTCTGGGAAGGGACTGCTATTGTGCTGGTTAGGGCGTCAAGGTGTTCTGCGACCTGCCACCGAAACGAGGACCGGTTCCTGTTGCCTCTGGAGACGGTGTACTTTTGCAGGGTTTTTCTTTTGTTTTTGTTTTCATTTGCCTGGTGGGGGTCTGCCTAGTGTGGCTATAGTTCCACTGGTAGTGTTTGATAGCCCTGTGCTAGGCCCCCGTGATTGTACACGTCGCAGGGGTTTTCAGTAATTACCTAAGTGTAGTTACAGGATGAGAGCTACGCTCGTGGTGTCCCGTCTTCCCAGCACTCTTTTTCATATAACGCTTTGAAACTACTGACGGTCTTGGCCTCCACCACCACCTCCCCTAACTTGTTCCAACCGTCTACCACTCTGTTTGCGAAAGTGAATTTTCTTATATTTCTTCGGCATCTGTGTTTAGCTAGTTTATATCTATGACCTCTTGTTCTTAAAGTTCCAGGTCTCGGGAAATCTTCCCTATTGATTTTATCAATTCCTGTTACTATTTTGTATGTAGTGATCATATCACCTCTTTTTCTTCTGTCTTCTAGTTTTGGCATATTTAATGCCTCTAACCTCTCCTCGTAGCTCTTGCCCTTCAGTTCTGGGAGCCACTTAGTAGCATGTCTTTGCACCTTTTCCAGTTTATTGATGTGCTTCTTAAGATATGGGCATCACACAACTGCTGCATATTCTAGCTTTGGCCTAACAAAAGTCGTGAACAATTTCTTTAGTATATCGCCATCCATGTATTTAAAAGCAATTCTAAAGTTAGAAAGCGTGGCATAGGCTCCTTGCACAATATTCTTTATGTGGTCCTCAGGTGATAGTTTTCTATCTAGAACCACCCCTAGATCTCTTTCTTTATCAGAATTCTTTAAAGATTTCTCACATAATATATAGGTTGTGTGGGGTCTATGTTCTATTCCACATTCCATAACATGGCATTTATTAACATTAAATTCCATTTGCCAAGTGGCGCTCCATGTACTTATTTTGTCCAGGTCTTCTTGAAGGGCATGGCAATCATCTAAGTTTCTTATCCTTCCTATTATCTTAGCATCATCAGCAAACATGTTCATATAATTCTGTATACCAACTGGTAGATCATTTATGTAG